CACTACAGGCAGTCCGCTGTTTACGATGACTCAGGTAGGACTTGAACCACTGTAGCGTACTAGGCGAGACACCGACAGCCGACAATTTAGATAACAAGATCTTATGGTCAACGGTATCGAATGCCTTGGTCAAATCTAAGAACACTGCACCGCACAGTTCTCCACTCTCCATATGCAATAGGACCTCATCTGCAAAACTGGTGAGAGCTGATGTTGTACACAGTTTGGAACGGAAGCCAAATTATTTATTTGAAATGAGGCTATTTGAAGTTAGAAAGTCATAGAATTGGAAGTGAACGACTTTTTCCAATATTTTACTCACGGTTGGCAGAATAGAAATTGGGCGATAATTCGAGTCCTTTCGTTTGAGCTCTTTTCGTGAGCCTACGCAAGTCAGGGTTTAGACAGTTCCATAACCTCGTACCAAACGCAGAGAAAGACTTAAATTTCACATGCAATCTAGATTTCTGTACATAAAAATTCTCTGTAGAAGAAAAGCGCGTGTGATATGTATGGACGTCAGATGAATTAATTAAAGGTTCGCGAATATTCCTAGGTGTAGCGCTAGTAGAAACGTCATGCATTATGGCAGTAATGGTTTCAAAATAGAGCATATTAATGGGTAGGATACTCGAAGTTATAAAAAGAGGGATAGCATGAGATATTTTGCTGGAGAAGAAAATCAATCGGAGTGCACCCTTTTGTAAGGTGAGAATCTTTTTTAAATCACTCTGAGCTGCCTGGCCCTAAGCAGCTATACCGTAGATCGTGTAGGGAAAAATCAGCGAACGGTAAATTTGAAGAAGGGTATTTAAAGGTACATGACGCGGATGTCGTTACACATGTCGTGACGTCGCGTCATGATTATGTTCGCAATGTATTGTGGTTAGAAGAAGGAATGAGCACGCCTTCAAGATGGCGTGGTAATGTTATTGTTATTAAATGTCGTTTTTTTGGAAACGAGCCTTTATTCTGTCTTGAATGATTGAGCGAGCCGCGAACTACGAGAACAACAACAGATTGTTAAAATTTGAATATTCCATATGGTCCACCGAGTCGAATGAAAACGGATTGCGATCAGAGATCTTCTGGAAACTGAATTGAACGAGATAAGCGTGAGTCCCTTGATGTTTTGATTTGAATCTTTTGTTGGATTAATCGCGTCTATCTTCATGTCTGGAAAGTTGGCAAGGAAAGGGAAGATCCGTACGGGCCACAGAGCGTCAACAAGGAAAATTTTTCGTCTGTAGAAGAGATTTTGGAAACCCTTGAAGAACAGAATCAGCCATCGGCCATTAATATTACAAGATTGCGACAGCAGAAACTCCTGCTACAAGAGAAGCTCGGCACAATTCGAAATTTAGATGAAGACATCCTCACAGTTGTCAGCGAAGGTCAAATAGATGAAGAAATTTGTGAAGCGGACGAATTTGTGGAATTTACGCAGTTGGCAATAATGAGGATCGATGCAGCATTGACTCCTAGCCAATCGACCCCTTCGTCTAAACTTGCAATCGCACCTTCACTTGCAAAAACGTCTAAAGGAAAATCTAACTCACCTGGAAATGTCTCGATGGCTTCGGAAACACATCCAAGTTCTTCTTCTACATCGACCGAGAATGTTTCGATGACTTCAGAAGTTCATCTGACTTCTACGTCGCATGGAAATGTCGGAAATGTCGTAGCGACTTCGGAAACACCCTTGACTCCTTCCACATCAGGTATTTCTAATACATATAGCTTAGGAACACAAGTAAAATTACCTAAACTAGACCTGAGAAAGTTTGATGGAGACATAAGCAAGTGGCCCTCGTTCTGGGATGCATTTGAATCTTCTGTGCACAACAATACCAAACTAGCTCCCATAGATAAACTCAATTACCTGAACTCTCTTCTCGTAAAGTCAGCTTGTGAAGCCATTTCTGGATTGTCCCTTACTGCTGCAAATTATGATGAGGCCGTTGCCATCTTGAAGAGAAGGTTTGGGAACAAACAGTTGATAATCAATAGGCACATGGAGACTCTGTTAAACATAAACTCAGTCAAATCAGGCCTTAACATCCAAGCACTACGTCAGCTGCATGATCTAATTGAGTCTCAAGTTAGAAGTCTATTCNACACCACATCAGTATTTGTACGAGCGACACTAACAATGAAGCCAAGTCTCTACACACTCCAACTGTTGAGGGATCAGCTTCCTCACCTCAGAGCCAAACATCATGCAGCCCTCCAGGAGAATCTAGTGGGAGGCCCACAGTTCTGTATGTCAATGCATCAACACCCATCCTGCTTCAGACTGCCAAGGCAGCAATTTACAGACCTGGTCAACCCAATGAGAAGTTTCTAGCCCGACTAATTTTAGACAGTGGCAGCCAGAGATCCTATGTGACCACCAGAGTAAAAGACAAGCTAAGACTACCAAGTGAGAGAACGCAGACTATTTCTGTGAAAACATTTGGATCAACTGAAGAGAACATTCAAAGTGTGGATGTTGTTAACC